TGTATGTATGTATGTATGTATGTATGTATGTATGTATGTATGTATGTATGTATGTATGTATGTATGTATGTATGTATGTTTCTTTGTTTCTTTAAAATATCTGTATGTTGCCTTTCTCTTGAAGGATCCAAGGTGGCTTATAGTACTTAAAAGAAAGCTAGGAGCTAGATAATAAATTATTACAATTTTTTAAAAAGATTAAACAAATATCATATTAAAACTCAAATAGGCTGGCACATGCCTGACTACCAGAAGGAAAGTTTCCCACTGCAATGGCAGTGGCAGAACAAGGTAAAGGGTGACAGGGGCAGTGGGAAGGGGTAGTGGGGCATATGGTGGTTTTTTTTTAGACAGGCTTGTCAGGGGAAGGGTTAGAAATTGGTGGTTCTTGCACTTCAATGAACAACAAACCAAGATGAACCTCCGTTTCCCTGGGTTCTGCCGAAAACATAGCTCCTAACAGCTACTTAGTAATGCCAAATGTCTGATACCACATTATTATTTTATTCATTATTTATTACAACTATTTGTATCCTACATATTAGGGTATATGCTCTCCCAAAGTAGCTTATAAGTAACATGAAAACACATAAATAATAATAAAAAGAAATAATGTCAAACAAATAATTCTTTTAAATCTTTTCAAAAAATAGAGTGGTTGGTAGTATCTGGCTCTATAGAAGGAGAGGACCATCCAGCTAGAACAGGGGCCACCATTTGACATTATCTTCCTCTGCTTTCTTTGTTCTCTTGTCATTCTTGGCCAAAGAAGAATTAATGTAGAACCCGGGAGTTGTCAAGCCTTGATCGTCCAGGTAGAGCAGGCTCTTAGGTGTTCTTACAGGCCCCCCTTGTACTCCTGGTATGTTTCTTGCAGCACAAGTGGTTTCAGTGGTACTGTGTGGTGGATGGAGAAGATAATCTCTTGCTCTGGAAAGAGTCTGCACCAGAGCTTCGAATGTCGCATCTAAAATGTAATCAGTGAAAATGAAACTGTAAAAATTAGGAAATGGGCTTGTGGTTCTTAACTGATAAATCTGTGGATGTTTAACTGAAATTACTTCTATTACTTCTATTGGCACATTTAATTAAAATGTTAATTTTGTAAACTGTAGAAGCAATATATCACTCCATATCTACCCTCCCTCTCAAATCAAGGCTTAGACTAGGTAGCCCAACATTGCCCCTATATAGCATTCAGAAGCCTGAATTAACAAGGTATTACTGGTATTTCTCAAAGCTTGTAGAATTTACAGTCTGTAGCTGTCAGGAGACCCAGACTTGGGAGACATTGCTCTCTAACTTCCAATTGCACTTTCACATAACACTCTAAGAAGCTTAGACTGAATATATAGGGTTGCTTAGCAGCTGGCCCTGAGTCTTGCTGTGCCATCACAGGCAGCTACTGAGATCGCTGACCTGTTCACCCAAATGACTTGTAAGAAGCCAAGATGAGTTGCTTGACTCCCTCTGGAGTTTGACAGAGGTCAAAGATCAAAAACCTGTTGTTCATCACAGATGGCCTTTACCTCATTTAAGAGTTAACCCCAGAATGAAATCAAATAATCACAGACAATCATTTTAAAATTCCTGATTGATGGTCTATACCAGTGGTTCTTAACCTGGGCGATAATGCCCCCCAGGGGGCGATTTCATTTTTCAGGGGGGCGGTAGAACGAAAAGGGGCGGCGTGGGGGCGCTGGAGCAGAAGGGGGGCGGTAGGGGGCACTGGAGCAAGCCAAACCTGTGAAGATGGCCTGATTGATGGTCTATACGACCATCATAGAGTGGTCGTATAGACCAGATGGGCGGGATACAAATCAATCAATCCATCCATCAATCAATCAGTCAATCAATCAATCAGTCAGTCAGTCCGTCACTCAAATAAATAAATAAATAAATAAATAAATAAATAAATAAATAAATAAATAAATAAATAAATAAATAAATAAATATAAGTCTTTTCACTTTTGCAACAATTCCAGGCAGCACCAACCTGTCCCAGTATAGACTTGCCTTGGATGAAAAATAAATACACAGACACGAACACCTTGTATTTATATGCATCATAGAGGAATAACACATTTAAATTGTTCTGTACAATTTTCACATCATTTTCATTAGGTGGATAGATGGAAGTCCAGTGATCTATGCCGCTTGGGCCCCTAATGAAGGTCGTCTTACAAATGATGATGAAAACTGCGTGGTTATGTACACCAATGAAGGTAACTGGAATAACAGCAACTATTGGTATCTGTATAGGTGGGACTGGAGCAAAAGATTAAAATGTAAAATAACTAGAATAACCATCATATAGTAGATTAATTTCAGAGTTATTTCCAAAATTTGAATGGACATTTCACTGATTTTAGCAGGTCTGCTTTATATATGACTAAGTCTGAAACCATCACACTGTATTTGCAGTCATAATCATTATTTCAATCATAAGGACACAGTGGGGAAAAAGCAGGGAAATCTCTTCTTTATGTAATTACTCATTTGATTTATGAATACATTATTATTATTAATAGTAATCAACTAACTTAAGCAATCAAAGTATCCATGAGCAAAAACTTCCCTTAAGAGTTAAGGGCTTGAAGGCGTGCGAGCACCCACTCGGCAAGGCTCCGAGCAGCGGCGCCAATTCCAGCTGACGCTGTTCCCTCTCACCCGCAAAAGTAAGTACCATTGAAAGTGTTCTTCCAGCAGATAAAAAAAACAATATTACCAAACGATCATAATCCCAGAGCTGAATAAATGCAAGCAAACCATGGGGGTGAAGGTATGCTATTTCTCCAAAATAGCGACTCTGCTCGAGCCTGGAAAGGTAGCTATGCAGCTACAATGAGCAAGCGGGTGGTGGAGCAAGAGGAGAGGGGGGAACAGCCCTTAAATAACCTATTGTTCTCCCTCTCCCACCTAGCTGCTCATGTGACATTGAAGAGGTCTCACAACCTCTGAGGAAGGAGGCAAAGGTGAGCCGCGCTGCTGAAGTTTGGCTCAGCAGCGGCTCATTCATTCTTTCAAAACAAGGTGACAAAGTCATTACAAATGCCCATTTATGCTAGCCCGTCAGACACTGTAACATACACAATTTTGTAGCTGAAGAAAGGTGTGTTCTATGACAAATAGGTGTGTTTTGGTCATTTAAGGAAGCCCTTCTTCTAAAAATGTCCTAAACGCATATGTAGTGGTTTTGTTCTTAGCTCACTTGCCTTAATGATGTAGCTTCAGGCTTTATATACCATAGCAAAAAAGTGTGGATTTCACATTTCTTTTCCTTCTTCTTGGTCACTTTAATTTTTCATATATGCATGGAGAAGTACTTTTTTTTTAGGTTGGAAATAATCCAGTTTTACCAATTGTTAACATAATTTCTCTGTTTAGGTTTATGGACTAACATAAATTGTGGTACTCAGCAGTATTTTGTCTGCGAAAGACATAACCGTTCTGTCCGTTCAACTGTTGCTCCCACATCACCCCCACCACAGGGGGGCTGTGCTGACGGCTGGCTTTTCTTTGATAACAAGGTAATGAAAGTCATTGTAGGTATGGAATGGAAAGGGATGGGGTCACTGGAAGGTGGCCGCCCCACTGTGTCCTGACTCCTCCAACCCTGGCTAAACCCACCCCTGGATGTGCTCTGCAGCTCCCACCCCACATCGACCAGGTGCTCCAGGCAGAAAAGGCTCCAAAACAGGCACTGGGCTGCAAAGCTCCCAAGCCACCAGTAGGCAACTTCATCCCCAAGGGATCCCCCAAGAGATTACTCTCCTAGGGGAGCATGTTTTTCTGCTGTCCTGCCAGAGGTCCCTTTATTTTGAGGCAGATATCAATGAATATGTGAATGTCCCTGCTCTGCACTTCTTTGGTTTTTTTGATAGCCACCTGCCAGCAAGCCAAGCCTTCCTTCCTTCCTTCCCCTTTCAGCCCCAACCACCTTCCTCCCCTTCTGTCCTGTCCCTCAACCAACATCTTCTCCTCACCCTCCCCAAATCCTTCCTGCTTTCTATTCTCCTCAGTCACTTGCCACCCCCTCACCCCTTGCCCCTCTCACTTGCCACCACCCTCACCCCTTGCCCCACTTTCTCTTTCCACCCTTTATTTCCATTTCCAGCCCTTTCATGTTTTCAGATTATTTTTATATTGGATCAGCACCAAGCCACCATCAAATCATAGATCCCACCTGTGCCCACAGACTACCAACCCAAGACATGCAGGAACCCATGTTTTTGTGAACTAAGAGATAGTACTGATGGTTTTTCCTTCTATTGCTATTCCATTTGGCAGCAGAATAGTCCAGTGTAGTAAGTACTATATAGATGGACTAGCCTTTCTTGTATACACACCTTAACATGGTGAAGGGATATGAAGCTGAAGTCAGACTCCACTTCTTGATCCACGAAGGCTCACATTAAAATACAGGAGTCTTTAAGATGCCACAATGGTTTTGTCTCTTATTTTTTACTGTGTTTTTGTTTTAGTTTTTTCTTCTTCTGTGTTTTGTCTGATATGCTTGCACAGATTAAAACAGCCTTGATCCATGAAGGCTCACATTAAAATACAGGAGTCTATAAGATGCCACAATGGCTTTGTCTCTTATTTTTTTTACTGTGTTTTTGTTTTAGGTTTTTTTCTTCTATGTTTAGTCTGATATGCTTCCACAGATTAAAACAGTGACCACTTCTAAAACTTCAAAAATGCTGCCGTTTTTCTATATGTGGAAACAGCAGCAGAGTTATCATTAAAGCAGTACTGCAGAACTTGGAAAAAGTAGTAACGCTACTAGTTATCCGTATCTGTTACCCAGGACCATGTCATGGTTAATGAATTCAGAATTGCTAGAATTTTAGAGGATGCCTCTCTTTTTTTTACCCTTAAGTGCTTCCAAATATTTGGCTTTAATGAAAACGAGAGAGAAAAATGGACTGCGGCACGTACTAATTGCAGAAACCAAGGTGGAAACCTGGCAACAATACCAAGCAAAGCTGTTCAAGGTGTGGTCAGTTCTTGGAAACTTATGCTGCATTTAGAAATTTTTAAAAGCTATTCAAGAAAACTTTATGCCATGTTAAAGCAGTAGTGGAGGGTGGTGTTTTGTTTTGCTTTCAATTGCTGCCCAGGTTACATGGGAAACCCCGAAACCTTATTTGGAGGTGGACCTCCTTCCATTTAGTTCTAGGCTTCTCAATTGTCCAAAGAGCACACACACAAAAAAGAAAAAGAACAAGAAAAAAGAAAGAAAAAGAAATCTGTGTTCTAGGGGCTCCCAGGAGCATGTAAGGTGCATAGGAGCACACATATATCCTGAATAGCTATTCAAGAAAACTTTATGCCATGTTAAAGCAGTAGTGGAGGGTGGTGTTTTGTTTTGCTTTCAATTGCTGCCCAGGTTACATGGGAAACCCCGAAACCTTATTTGGAGGTGGACCTCCTTCCATTTAGTTCTAGGCTTCTCAATTGTCCAAAGAGCACACACACAAAAAAGAAAAAGAACAAGAAAAAAGAAAGAAAAAGAAATCTGTGTTCTAGGGGCTCCCAGGAGCATGTAAGGTGCATAGGAGCACACATATATCCTGAATAAAAAACCCACAACAACTATATTTGATTCTGTTGGCAATATTATATGGCAGGTTCCCAAAGACTGAGTGCCACTTTCGGACCAGTTAAAAGTGCCTAAATGAAATAGAAGGTCTCTATCACTAAATGTCTCTGTTTCATACACCAATTGTTAAAGAAAGATTGTCTGCTTGGAGCCCTCCCATCTTTTTTTCTTTCCCAAAATAAAGAAAAGACAATATTGCTCCACAGTAGGTTTTTTATCAGTATCTTAAAGATCCCTGGCTTGGCAACAGATAATATCTTTCCAAATAAAGTTCTATAAACGGTCAATCTGGGGAAGTAACAAATCTTGTATTACAGAATCATGCATTGAGTTTCAGAGGCCAATTTGAGAAATAAACAATTTGTTGTCTGTTACTTAGACGGGAAAATATATTATGGTGCCAACTAGTCTCAGACATAGTCATATTTAAACCTTATTCCTTTCCTAGTTGTTCAGTTTCCAAAGCAGGACTACGTTGGGGGGACACTGTTGCGAGTATACTTGGGCAAATGACTGTCAGTAGCAAAACAGATGTAAAGACAAACAATTAGAGAGTTCCATAATTTGTTCTCTCTTGGTGTGGCCTGCACTATGCATTGATACAATTAGGAGTGACTTTACTTCCTCCCATATGCCTCCTTCTCTCTGTGTGTGTCTCTTATGTGTCTACGGACAGCTAATCTCATCCTCTGTTTCACTCAGAGGATGTACTTCACCACATGGCCCAAACTAGACATTGAAAGGAATATTTGTTAGCCTATCTTTTTAAAAGATTAGCAGAGTATACTCAGTTCAATTCTTATTCTAAACTGTCCAGCTGATTCTTGGTGTGGCCTGCTCTATACATTGATACAATTAGGAGTGACTTTACTTCCTCCCATATGCCTCCTTCTCTCTGTGTGTGTCTCTTATGTGTCTACGGACAGCTAATCCCATCCTCTGTTTCACTCAGAGGGTGTACTTCACCACATAGCCCAAACTAGACATTGAAAGGAATAACTGTTAGCCTATTTTTAAAAAAAGATCAGCAGAGTGTAATCAGTTCAATTCTTGTTCTGAACTGTCCAGCTGAAAGATGTATGGTTTCCAGAAAGTTTATGGCAGACCATTTCTTTATTTCTTCTCAGCTTTCCTCACGGTGCACTTAAAAAGCGCTTCAGCAGACACCTGGATCGGGCTGAATGATATCACTTCAGAGGGGACATTCCTTTGGACAGACGGAAGTGGTGTCTACTACACAAATTGGGACAATGGCTTTCCATCTCAATTTGTAAGTCCTCCCAGCAAAGGCTTTCATTCTTTTTCTTGGTAGCTGCATATGCCTTTGATGGCTTTTTGCTTCTATAGAAAACCTATGTAGATGACAATAATTGCAGTGGGCTAGCATTGTAGCAGACAAGATGCTAAAGGAATCTTTAAAAACTGTTTTTAAAAACATAAAAGGAAGTGGAGTAGTAAGGCTTTAAATGTACGCTTCACTTTTCTCAATGACACTTTTCCTATTTACATTTTTGCCAGGGAGAGGGAAGGCATCCTTCCAAAATGGTTGTGACTTCCATCTGCTCCTGCCAGCATAAGCAATTAAGTAATGGTGGGAGTGACGAATGTGGAAACATAGAATGCTACCTTATTTTGAGTCAAATCATCAGTCCTTCCTAGTCCAATGTTGTCAAGAACTTACTGGCAGTGGCTGTCCAATGTTTCAGCCTTGCCTGGAGATCACTGACATTTTATGATGTTCTTCTAAATTCCGACTGGGTATGACCCTACTTAGATTCCATAGTCAGAAAAGATCCAGGAGGAAATGCAGAGCAACAACATCTGGAGGGCCACCCATTTCAGCCCCTAGTATAGAGGGCGATTTAGGGTTATTTCTCCAATTGGCTATCCATTGCTGACGCTCCAGGGATTTTTATTTCAACCTATGCAGTGGTGACCAAACTGCAACTTCTTTTCCAAGACTGTGTTCTGGGAACGTCCACATCAGAAAAATCCAAAACTCTTTCATATAGAGAACAAATGAATCATACTTGACTTATAGGCATGGAAAAGAAAACCAGAAAATGAGATCCTGGTTGCAAGAGACAGTAACTAAACTCTGATTAATCCAGATGTACAGTGGTGCCTCGCTAGACAGTTACCCCGCATGCCAGTTTTTTCGCTAGACATTGGCTTTTTGCAATCGCTATAGCGATTCGCAAAACAGTGATTCCTATGGGGAAATTCACTGGACAATGTTTGGTCTCTGCTTCGCAAACTGATTTTCGCTAGACGACGATTTTGGCAGCTCCCTCCGCGCTTGCAAAACAGGTGTTTTCGGGACCTAAGCTTCACAAGACAGCAATTTAAACAGCTGATCGGCGGTTTGCAAAGTGGCTTTCTTCGCTAGACAACGACGATTCTTCCCCATTGGAATGCATTAAACAGGTTTCAATGAATTCCAATGGGGAAAGTCATAAGGGCATCAAAAAAGCTTTTCCAGGATATGTGTGAGGATATTGCCTATCAACTTGAGCAACTGCAAATGGCTGCTCACGACTCATTCAGGGCAAGGCTGCTAATAAAGGAGTTGCCTAGCCAGGTTAATTAAAATACTGACTGGTCAGCATTCATCAGTTCTCAAGACTCCACACACTCCCTGACTGATAATTTTCAGATGCTTTTGGAGTTCACTCTCTCCCTTAGAGCTCAGTCCTTGAGAGAAGGGTATTTTTTTCCAAAAAGCAAAGATTAATTTCAATGGGATAGTGGTGAAATATGACAAATATTCATCTACAATTTATCTGGGATGGCTATAAAAAGCAAAGATTCATGTTTTCTCTGCTTAAATAAATGTAGGAAGAGGATTATAAAAACAATCCAGGTTATAGACTATACCACATGGTATACATTAGTCTTATTCATTCTCTAGTATCCTGATGACTGTGTTTTCATGTTGAAACGACCGGAACGAATGGCAGGAAATTGGAGAAATGAACCATGTGAAGCTAAAAAGAGCTACATCTGTCAAAGGAACACAGGTAAGTTTCTAGAAGCAGGGAACAATTGCATTCTTATGAGGCCCAGAACCAATTTTCCATGCTATATTATTTTGGTCAAAAAAGAAAAGTAAATTGACAGCTTTAAAACCATTAGTGACTAGATACTTAGCTGTGTAAAGAAAAAGAAGAAAATATGGCACCAGTTGCCATATTTTGACACACATGGTGACAGACAGCCGCAATTGTATGCCCACTGGTAAATAACTTGATTTTTTTACAGGTTATTTCCTAAATAATTCAGAAGGAAGGTGTTGGTTTACAATTCAGTTGTTCATAGGGGTTGTTTCATCCATGCCCGTAGATATTAATTTGAATGCAAAAGCAGAGTTCCTACATGTATGTCTGCCCTACCTGATAACCCAGTTTGAATGCTAGAACATGCTTTTTATTCAGCAGGAACTATAGTGGTTAAAAGGCCAATAGAACAAGATTATCTTGGCTTCATCAAGAGATATTTCTGTTGACTGTTAGGGTTTTATTTGTTTCTTTGGAGATTGTAAAGAACACACATTCTGTGGTATGAGCCAGCTCTGATTTTAACATAGACCTCACTTAGATTTTATTTTTAACATCATTTTCAATATCCATTGAGTTCTAGTTTTAAAACATTTTATTTCAGATTTTTACCATTTAAAGATATTGAATCACAAAGGATATAATATCCATAATTTCAGTATCAAGTGGAATCAATTTATATTTTTAACATCTGAAATGTTCACTGCCTTTTTTCCATATTCCTCCACCACAGATCCTGCTTTATCTCACTCTGAAACAACAATTCCAGCTTCTCAATATACCCGTTATGGAAATAGCAGCTATTCTGTCCTTGGTCCCAGAATGACATGGGAAGAAGCAAGGAAAAAGTGTAAATCTGAGCACTCAGAGCTTGCCAGCATTTTAAACCCCTACATCCAGTCATTCCTATGGCTGCAGGTCTTAAAGTATGGGGAACCTGTGTGGATTGGCCTAAACAGTAACAGGGTAAGGCAGTAAGGTGTACAAGAACAATTATACATATATGCCAAGAAGCCGTATTCAGGAAACCATGGTTAGTAATTCTCAACACAAGGCTGAGAATAAATCTGACTTCTTCAACAGTAGAAGTAACCTGAAAACAGCTTTGGAGAAGATCTGTGCCAATGCTTGGTTTACATACTAGCTGTTTGTGAGCGATACTAGTCTGTTGGGAACTTGGGTAAAAAACTGACGGTGCTTCTAGCACGAAAGGTGCAGTTTCAGTTATTTATAAGGTGAAGGTAAAGGTTCCCCTTGACATTTAGTCCAGTTGTGTCCGGCTCTAGGGGGTGCCATTTCCAAGACATACAGCCAGCATTTGTCCATAGACAGTATCCGTGGTCACGTGACCAGCGCGACTAGACACGGAATGCTGTTTACCTTCCCACCATGGTGGTACCTATTTATCTACTCACATTTACATGCTTTCGAATTACTAGGTTGGCAAGAGCTGGGACAAGCGACGGGAGCTCACTCCGTCACCTGGATTCGATCTTAGACTGCTGGTCTTCTGACCCTGCAGCACAGAGGCTTCTGTGGTTTAACCCACAGCGCAACCACGTCCCTTCTCAGTTATTTATAAGATGATGTTAAATATGTCAAAGGTACAGGTTTGGGTTTGAAATATTCATGCCAGGATAGCATGTAGACTCAGAAACTTTTTAATCTATTTCTTTTAGTATACATGAAACTACAGTATAGTTAAAATTATGCATTGTTGGTACAGTATTTGACCCCAGCCAAATGGATGCATATATCTGGGGAATCCTCAAATATATTTTGGAGACACTGTGGTGATGTTGGGACATATTAGGTGATGATATACTTCAGTGACTAGCTTTTGGTCATTCATACAAATGTATTTGTTTTGACCCATCATTAGCTCTGCTTTATTTATTTGGAATGGAAAATGTAAAACTTCATATGTAAAGATGTAGGTGATCACGGAACAAACGAAGGCTAATGATCTGGGTGATCACGGAACAATAGGAAGGCAATTGGCCTTAGAGAGAGTACAAAAAAGTCGACCACAGATGTCCAAACAAGTACAAAGAAGTCGACCACAGATGTCCGAACAAGCGGAGCCTCAAGCAACGCCTTGAGAACTCTTTTTATTAACTTAGCAGGATTACACAGTATGTTGAGAAAATTCAGATACGATACTAGTTACCTAATCGCCACTAGGACTGGCTGAAGAAACTCTTTGATCTTATGTTCTAACTCCAAGCAGAAAGGGCAGAATGAGTAGGTTACCCCACCCGCTGGCAGCAGCCGCTCTCTGCCAGGAGTGTTCGCACATTACAAACAGATAACAGCTAACAGCCTTGGGCAGGATTTTCCCACATAAAGACATTAACATTTTTATTGTAACAGTAAGAGAAGAGTTGACTATAAAATGGATATATCTGTGAACAGTTGGTATAAATGTGTTTTGGGATGTGGCTCTTGTTACCCCAAATGGGTTCTTGTTCTTTATATCCTGGGACCATGAGAGAGGAGAGAGAGAACCTAGCCAGACTACTGACAAGAAGACCACACGCCAACAATTTTGGGTTAAGGACTATTCCTGTAACATTTATTTTTGAAACATAAGACATAGGATATAAGACAAAAGGTACCAAGAGGCCTCTCTTTCATACTTCCCATTCACACAAGATACTCGCTCATCCAGAAGGCCCTTCTCTGAGGGTGATCAATCCTCAGAAAGGGTGATGGGGGTCGTCCCAGCCCTGTTCCAAAGCTTCCTCTTTCTTAAGCTTGCTTTCTCCAGTTTTAGTTATATTTAGACTTCTTGCTCGAGTTCACTTCCTTCTTGTTTGGGCACAACAACTGCAAAAATCCAAACTTTTGCCCACAGTTACCTCTTATTAATAGCGAAACTATCTCTGTCTGCAATTTGCATCTTCTTTTAAAGCTCTGTATTAGGCACACTATCTCATCTTCCCTTGTGATTTCTTCATCTTCTTCAGGGGTGTTGGTCTGTCTAGAACCCCCCTCACCAAACTGTCACACTCTTGTCACTCATAACACTCTTGCCAAGAGGCAAACACAAGAATTTTGAAGAGCCAGGGATGAAATAAATTGGAATGACTTTGAAGTGACGAGGTCTCCATTTGTAGTGTGTAACCAGCGGAGGCAGGATATTGGCAAAAACTTCTGGATCCATGTGTTGCTCTGCAGAGAGATCTGCTGAGATGATAGGACTGGTTAAGCTGGAGGTTTTGTTGTGGGTGCTGGTTGTTACTACTAATACTACTAATACTAGTAGTAATAGTAGTAGTAGTGGTGGTGGTGGTGGTGGTGGTGGTGGTAGTAGTAGCAGTAGCAGCAGCAGCAGCAGTACCACCACCCTGTTTCACCGAGAATAAGACCTGACCTGAAAATAAGCCCTAGTATGATTTTCCAGGATGGTCGTAATATAAGCCCTACCCCCAAAATAAGCCCCAGTTAAGTTAAACCTTCCCCTCCACCATTGTGCAGCAACTAGAAGAAGATGACATGACTCTATTTGAATAAATGTAGATTGTTGTACATGAAAAAAATAAAACATCCCCTGAAAATAAGCCCTAATGTGTTTTTTGGAACAAAAATGAATATAAGATCCTGTCTTATTTCCGGGGAAACATGGTACAGTGGATCCTCGACTTACAGACGGCTCGACTTACAGACTTTTCGAGTTACAGACTTCTCTGGCTGCAAAATTTAGGTTCGACTTGCAGCTGGAGAATCGACCTACAGACCAGAAAAAAAAAACCAAAATGGAACAAAAATGGAACAAAAACAGCCGGTTACGGGATTAATCAGTTTTCAATGTATTGTAGGTCAATGAAGCCTCGACCTACAGACTTTTCGACCTGCAGCCACCATTCCAATACGGATTAATTCCGTAAGTAGAGGGTCCACTGTATTAGTATTGGTATTGGTATTAGTAGCAGCTGCAGCTGCTGCCACCACCACCTTATAATATACTATGTAGCTGGAAGGGACCCTATAGTTAATCAAGTCCAGCCCATGTCAAGGAATGCTGGACTTGATGATCTATAGGGAGGCACGGGAGAATATAGCATCTAGCAAAATTTAGCATTCTACCTTGGTGATTTTTAACCATTGCCTTTAGAGGTAGAGGAAAAAAGCAGAGGAATTAAATGCAAAAGAAGCAAAAGTAGATCAGGGGAACCAGTGCTTTCTTTTATTTCCTTATTTTCTGAAACCAATGCTTCTCTTTTAGACTGGTGAAGTATACAAGTGGATAAGTAACTGGAGGCTGGTGTATACTAACTGGGCTGCTGAAGAGCCAAGGGAGAAAATCGCCTGTGTCTACTTAGACCGCGATGGTCACTGGAAAACAGGAAACTGCAGTGAAACACACTTCTCTGTTTGTGAGCAGTATCACGGTATGGAAAGGAGTATATTTTTTCAATATATGCCATTATTTTTTAATTCCAGTATTGATTCTACTTGGATTTTACCACTCACAGTAGCAATAGAAAAAAAGTGGGATTTGAATATTTGCCTCTTTCATAATGAATGAATTAATAAAACTGTATTGGTGTCGTGCTATTAAAAAAAAAAGGACAAACATAAACACAACTCTGGCTTTAGTAAACAAAACACAAAATCCATCCTCAGGTGAGCAATTGCAGGTCCAGCTAGTTTCAGCAGAAGAATCTCAGGCAAATCTCCAAAGACTGAAATCCCATATCATCTACCCACACATTTCAATTCTCACTTCTCCAGCTGCCATGAACGGGGAGGAACAATACCCATGAAAGTACAAAAAAGAGGACCATCTCTGTGGTGGCACTCTGATTTTGGAGTAGGCCTCCTCTTGGAGATCCAGTTGATTACTGCTGACTTTATGGTTTGGCGTTTTTTTAAAAAAAAATACATTATCAAATGTTTTTGCATTTTAAATCCTTTTTAAATTAATTGACTTGTGTTCTGAATAATTTTGATGCCTCTTATTTTTGACATATCCTACATCTCCACCTGCCCTTCTATCAGTTCTTTATGAACAATTTATATACTTTAATTGCTGTATTCCAGTCATAGGAGTCATTCCACCAAGTTTTAGTTATTCCATTCAAGTCATATTTACCCTCCTTAGCTAAGAGTTCCAATTCTACTTGTTTGTTCCCCATGCTCCTGGTGCTTGTATATAGACATGAGAAATTGTGTGATTTGTGACCTGCTTTTCTTTGTACATTTTTTATGAATATTAATATCAATATATGAATGAAAGACCAGGGTAGGTGTCAGTGGTGAACCCTCCTACAGTGATGGGCCATTAGTTGCTACACGAAAGTATCATGTGCTGATGGTGGGCTTGATTCTGAATCCAATCTTAGAATAAAGATCTGTACAGCTACTCAGAGGTGAGTCTCATGGAGTTGTATGCAACTGATACTCCCAGACTTTATTGAACAAAATAATTATACTTACAATTATACATATGAATTATTCAAAATAAACTGAATTATGCCTTTGGGTTATCCTGTACATATGGAAACTATTTTCAGTACAAAACGGTGGTGTTACATACTTTTTTAAAGGGGAAGCTGTTTTTTTTTTAAAAGACAAAATTATCTGTTTCATTATAGGTGAAATCCCAACAGAAACTCCAGAGGTCCCAGGAAGATGTCCTACCTTACAAACTACACTGAGATCTTGGATTCCATTTCGAGCCTATTGCTATGCAATCTTCACGGTCAAAGAGACTTGGGCGGAAGCATCTGTGAGATGTGCTCAGTTAGGTTGGTGCTATTTTGAATGAGATAAGAATCACAATAATTTTCCATGTTTGTTGTTGTTTAGTCATTAAGTCGTGTCTGACTCTTTGTGACCCCCATGGACCAGAGCACACCAGGCCCTCCTATCTTCCACTGCCTCCCTGAGTTTGGTCAAATTCATGTTGGTAGCTTCGATGACACTGTCCAACCATCTCATCCTCTGTCGTCCCCTTCTCCTCTTGCCTTCACACTTCCCCAACATCAGAGTCTTTTCCAGCTAGTCTTCTCTTCTCATGAGATGGCCGAAGTATTGGAGCCTCAGCTTCACAGTCTGTCCTTCCAGTGCACACTCAGGGTTGATTTACTTCAGAATTTTTCATGTTACCAGGTTACTAATCAGTATGTAAAGGAATGTGATGTAGTGTTTAGATTTATTATGAAGATAGTATAGAAAGGAACCTGATTGTCTCAAATCCATTTTCTTTCTATCCTGCCATCTCCTCCATTTCATATTACTTTTATTACTACCACGTCTTCTTCCATTGCTACAATTCTTTCAATGAAGTCTATATCCTGTATTGCAGATTGAACAATTATACCTAAATACATTGTATCTAATATAAGAATCATGTAGGTTGAAATCCTGTTGATGTAACTTACGTTGGATGGGGCTGATGAAGTCACCAGCAGTACTGATTTTTCATAAGTCCAAGAGCTCCCAGTTGGATGGGGCTGATGAAGTCACCAGCAGTAGTGATTTTTCATAAACATTTCTTACTTCGATCCCAAAACTCCAAGAGCTCCTATAATTCATTTCATCATTGGGAAGCCATGAAACAGGAAGGGGAGGTTTTTAATTAAGGAAAATCAACACCACCAATACAATTTTACTGGTGATGCATGTTTTTGCAGTTAAACTCCTATCCTACAGTTTCCATGGCTTCTCATCAATGAAAGGAATTACCTGGGAACCTTGAGACAGAGGTCAGAAATGTTTAATTTATGAAAAATTGTTGCTGACATAATCAGTCTTACATGGCATGAGCTATGGCAACAGGATCAGCCTCTATCGTACAAAAATGAATTCTGCTTTGCAGAGTGGACATTTAGAGATTTGACACTTTTGGTCAAATCTTTGCTTTTTGGTAATTTTTTTTCCTTCCTCATACTATTATAAAATAGTTGTTGTGGGTTTTTCGGGCTCTTTGGCCGTGTTCTGAAGGTTGTTCTTCCTAACGTTTTGCCAGTCTCTGTGGCCGGCATCTTCAGAGGACTGGCGAATCTATTCTTTCTCCAAGTTCTCTAAAACTGGATTCAAAAAGCCCCTTGCTCAGTCAATGTCCAAAAGTCTGCCTGATCAAAATAGTTGTTTGCCTGCTGGCGAAGGAGCAGCAGTCTCGCCTTCCTCAGACAGGAGTTCCACAAGTCTCGAGAGGCCTCTGTGAAAGTCTCTTCCAGTGGTCCCAACGAAGATGCCTCTGAGGGCAGAGGGACCCCTCTCAAAGCTGTCAAAGCCCAGGCAGGCTCCGGTGGGTGAAGATGGCCCTTTCTATAGCCTGGACACAGGCATTAGACATTTTCACTACTGTTTCGATTGCTAGTTACAACCAGAGTAGACCCACTGAATTAGTAAGACTGATGTAAACACTGGATCACCATTCAACTACTGATTCAGTAGATCAACTTTGGTTCGGACTCAAACTGTGATTTAGGCCCTTACTACAAAATTGCAAGAGTTCTTTTCCACAAAAGTATAATGATAAAGGAACAGGATGCACATCTGAAAGACAGCAATGAACTTTCTCTCAAAGGCATCCATTTTATTTTTTTTTGCTTGTGCTGGACTGGGCTGTTAGGCCATTGCATTTTTTTTTTTAAGAAGCGGGTAAATTTAATTAGTTTCTCCCCTGATGTTTTTAGGTGGCACGTTGACTTCAACAGAAGATGTAGCTGAACTAAATTTTCTGCTGGAACACACTCAGCAATTTGAACCTATGGACTTCTGGATAGGATTGTTCAGAAATGTGGATGGTAATTATATACATTTCAATATTTATCTGTATGCCGGTATGGTAAAATATCATACACATTTCCTCTTTTTTTTCATAGCAAAAGAACTCAACAGAAAAGGTTGGTGAATTTTCTTCACCACAGAATTCACAAGCCTTTCCTGAGCCTTCTAATTCGAAAGTTCATCCATTTTCCAAAACCGCTCCCTACCTCTTGGGATTGGCATCCAAGTGATGATGGTGACATGTACATCAACCTCATCATACTGTCACCTGGAAATGGGAACTCTTTTTTCCTTTTACTTTTATTTAACAAGGAAGGAGAGTTTTAGGTCTGAATGGGAAAAGAGAACCTTGTAAAATTTCTGAAACAATTATCAATTGACCCAGGGGGAAAAGACTGCTTGGAATAGATTTCACAGCAGTCAAAAATAGGTGTGATCACATGAGTAAATAGATCACAATCTGAACCGTTTGTGGAGTGGTGCAGTGTGATCATTTCCCTGATGATCACCTGATACACGGTGAAACGTACTCTAACCCCTATCCATCTCCAGGGCTTCTACTTTTGGGGCTGAGCTGGAGTGATTCCCTGGCAGATGGAGGTTTCACTTTCAGGGAGATTCTGCTGTTTAAGCAATCCTTTATGGTGTGATCAGATGCATGCCTTTCCAGCCATCATTCAACAGCATGTACTTAACATTTAAAAACTGCATGCATGTATTTAAGATTGGGTTACCCCTACTAAACTCACATGGACAGATCTGTGCTTCCTTACATACATGCCCTTGACCTTGAAAAAAAGCTATTCATACACAACAGGCCATGTGGCATGGCTAATGTGACAGGAATAAGCTCCTACTAGAAACCTAGATGCCAACTGTGGGCCCATCCACACTGCCATATAAATATAATATATAGCTCATTGAGGGCATGGTTTAGCTTAAAAAAAAAAGAATCTGTATCTGCTAGATTGAGCCGTCCTTTCCCTTTAAGAGCTGTGCTGCACCTTTCTCGCCCAGGAGTATAGGATGCAGTCTTTTTGGCATGCAGAGAATCAGGGGACGCCTCCCCTGCCGGCTGTAAGTGCCCCAGCCGGTGCCAGCATCACAAAGGGGCTCCCCTTTCAAAGAGGGAGATAGCCTCCAAAGAGGGATCTCTCCTGCTGGAGATAGACACCAAGGTACCATGCTACAAGTGGGGGAGAGACCGAGCGACTGCCAGTGATATCAGTGGCAGCTACCGCAACCTCTGTGTTCCTCCTGTGCACCCCACAGCTTTGCACTGTGCTTTCCTGCTCCCCTCCCCCTTTCACTTCCTCCATTTTCTCTTTCCTCTTTTCTTTCCTAATTTCTTCTGTCTTTTTTCCCCAGTCCTGTTTGTCCATCCTCCTTTTCTTGTGGCACTTTCACCTGCTGTTTTCCTGGCAGCATTTCCATTCCCTTCACTCCGGCCAAATTCCATTTCCTTCTCTTTCTGAACAGTATCCTTTTTACTCTCCCTCTCTTGCTTCTTTGTGTCCTGGACCCCTTCCCCCTTTTCTACCTTCTCTTTTCTCTCCCCCTCCTTATTTGCTGTTTCTACTTTAACACCTGATCGGGCTACAAGGGGTTATCGGATATGTGACGGGGAGGAGTATGCCAAATGGCATATTGTCCCCCTGCGCCTCGCCTCATATTTGCTGTTTCTACTTTAACAGCTGATCGGGTTACAAGGGATTATTGGATATGTGGCAGGGAAGAGTATGCCAAGTGGCATATTGTCCCCCTGCGGCTCACCTCGCCAGAATCTTTGTAACCTGATCCACCCAGGTTTTTAATATTATCAGTGCTTTGAAAATAAGTAAAGTTATTGATCTTAATATTTTTGCTTTCGTTTTTGTGATAAATAGTGAAACCAATGGACATAGCTATCTCTCTGGAAATATTATTAGCAATACTGTAAACACAAAATGAGCCCACTAATTTTCACTGAAACACTATTTAAAAATACATAAATAACTGGCTAACTTGGGAAGTAGTTCCACTTTGTTTTGAAAAGTTAATTCATTCTATCAGGAAGGTAAGGGCATCTCTTTCCCCAAAATGTTTTCATACTGTAGTTAATGCTTTTGGTCCAGATAAATGCTAGTTTTCTTCAGCCTTCTTAACCACTGCATCCAATATGCCAATGGCAAAACTGCTCCTGAGAGTCAGATGACTCTCCAAAATAGTGTGTAGTGTGGTCTGAGGAAAGAGATGATACCAAAATTCTCTCCCTCCCTCTATCTCTCCCCCTCTCTCCCTTTTTGCACCTCCCCTCATTTTTCCTTAGGGAAAAAAACTTGAGAAGAAATTTAAAAAGTAATGTATTTCCATATCATATTACAACTAGTGTGCTACTCTTTTCTGTTTTCTCAGGATGCAATGTGTTTCTTTTTATAATTAGGAGAATGGAAATGGGAAGACAACTCGGAAGTAGATTTTGTTAACTGGAAAAAGGGACAACCTGGAGGTCCTGTTGTAGTATACCATTACAAGGACAGTGGCCCTGAATTTCAAGACAGATGTATTTCCATGAACGGCCATACTGGGGAATGGTACACTAGATCCTTCAGTTATCCACGCTTGGGATTTATTTGTAAAATCAGGAAAAGTAAGGATTAAGCAAGGACTCTGGTAGAAAACATTATTTGATTACACATTATATTTGTATTGAGTTCCGACAGTAAGATGTTTCTGTTTCATAAAAGGCTCCTTCTATAAGGAGCCAGAAGGCCCTGTGCAGCTATTCCATTCTTTTTTTCCTTAACCATTTTCCCATTGCAAGAAAAACACATAAGAAATGGTGAAAAAATGTGGAGGAGGGAAGAAAATGAAGGGTTCCTAGTGAAGAATGACATCATTTAGGGGCCCCATAAAATGTAGCAGCAAGGCATCGCAAATGCTTCTTTAGAACTGAACTTAGGGTGGGTTCCTATGGAGAAATTTAGACAGCTTGTGAAATGGTCCAGTGTGATCTGTTTCTTGGTAATTACACAGCATACATGGAAATGTACTTGAGCCTGACCAGAATCCTGACACCAGTCCTTACCTATAAGGTTACAACTTTTGCGGCTGGACTGGAGCAATTGTCTGGCAGACAAAAGGGTCACTTTAAGAGATCAGGCTCCTAATTAGAACTTTATAATTTCCTGTTTGGTAACTGGCCATGTCCTTTTTGAGCAGTAAATGCCTAACTTTCTGTGGTAGAAGGGGACTACTGCCCTGCATCTACTTCTTTCCAAGACAATCTGGATCATTTTCCAACAAACTGTTGATCAGAGCCTTGCCTTCGGTTAAAAAAAAGTCCTTTATGCTTGCTGGCCTGTTAGTATTGCTATAACAGAAATAACAGAATACTTTATATATCCTAAAACATTCGTTTATACCTCTGCATAATATTTATATCACATATATAATAACTCACATATATATTTTTGTTTTAATTTTATAGTTATCGACAAGCCGACTGAAGAGCCTAGAACAGATAAAAGTAAGACTATTTCTTTAAAATATTCTCAAAAATAACTCAGTTTAAATGATAAGTACTTGTGTGTCAAAGTTCAAAGCAATGAGTTTAGAACAAAAGACTGGAAATTTATCCACAAAGGAATGCAAGAACACTTCAGTGGCATAGGCATCCACAAACAGGAGAGCAGACAAACTAAATTCCAAGTCCACTGCAACAATTGATCTCTGTGTAAACAAGCAAATGTAAAAAAATGATCCCCTTTGCAATTCTAGTCACAAACCGCTCCAACGTTCAGGCCTATGCCTGTACAGTATATAAAGGGTCAGACTAGATGATTCATCTAGAGTGCTTATAGAGGTATTCCCACAAGTAGTGAAAGATGATGTCTGTTTATCATAGGACAAACATTCCTCACCTCTGGTTGTTGAAGTTTTTTTGGGCTGTTTGGCCATGTTCTGGAGGTATTTCTTCCTAACGTTTTGCGAGTCTCTGTGACAGGCATCTTCAGAGGACAGAAGTTACAACTCTGTGTTCTGGTGTAGCGTGTGGGACAGCTGAATATTTGTAGCTGTGGGATCAGCTTTTTGTCCTTTTCAGGAGATTGGCCCCACCAGATGCCTCTGCGAGCACACTAGACAACTCGATACCTGATACCCCTCCCCTGCACCTGGCATTTTGAAGTACCTTCCTTTGAAGCCTGGAGTCAACAAAATATTACTTTAAAGGCATCTAAGCCAGATGCCATCAACACATTCAATGGCAAGGAGTTCCATAGACTAACCATACACTGGGAAAATAAATATTTTCTTTTGTTTGTTCTAACACTCAATTAGAGTGGATGTCCCCTGGTTCTAGTATTGCATGAGAGGGAAAAGAGTTTCCCTCTATCCACTTAATCCATCACCTGCATCATTTCATATGTCCCAATCATGTCCCCCCCTTCATGCACCCTTTCTCTAGACTAAAGAGCCCCAAACGCTGTTGCCTTTCCTCATAAGTGAGGTGCCCCAACCCATTTAGCTTTCCTCTGCACCTTTTCCAGTTCCACAATGACTTTTTTGAGGTGCAGCAACCAGAACTTTACATAATACTTCAGGTGCAGCATTACCAGCGTTTTGTACAATGGCATTATAATGTTGGCTGTTTTAATTTCAATCCCCTTTTTAATTATATCTAACATGGAAGGGACGTGGTGGCGCTGCAAGTTAAACCGCAGAAGCCTCTGTGCTGCAAGGTCAGAAGACCTGCAGTCGTAAGATCGAATCCACACAACGGAGTGAGCTCCCGTTGCTAGTCCCAGCTCCTGCCAACCTAGCAGTTTGAAAGCATGCAAATGCAAGTAGATAAATAGATACCACCATGGTGGGAAGGTAACAGCGTACCATGTCTAGTTGCACTGGCCACGTGACCACGGAGGATTGTCTTCGGGCAAATGCTAGCTCTATGGGTTGGAAACGGAGATGAGCACCGCCCCCTAGAGTTGGACACGACAGGACAAATTGTCCAGGGGAACCTTTACCTTTACCTAACATGGAAATGGCCTTCTTCACTGCTGGCACACACTGGGTTGACACTTTGATTGAGCTGTCCACCAGCACACCAAGATCTCCTTCTCGATCTGTCACAGACAGCTCAGAACCCATCAGCTGATAACTAAAGTTTTGCCATAGGAGGAGTTTAACCCCATTCAGGGCAGGGAAATGGCCCTCCAGCCTGTCCAGCGAAGCACCCACTAACAGCACTTCCATCTTGCCTGGACTGAGTTTCAATTTATTAACCCTCATCCAGTCTATTATCAGGTCCAGACACGAGTTCAGCACAGAAACTGCCTCACCTGGATTGGTGGGAAACGAGAGGTAGAGCAGAGTGTCGACAGCATATTGCTGACTCCTCAGCCCAAACCTCCTGATGACCTCTCCCAGTGGTTTCATGTAGATGTTAAACAGCATGGGGGACAGGATCAAGCCATGAGGAATCCCATGACATAAATGGCATGGGACAGAGCAACTGTCCCCAGGACCACCCTCTGGACACTGTCAGCCAGGAAGGAACATAACCACTGTTAATCAGTACCCCCAACTCCCAAACCAGTCAGCCCTTGAGCTTTTCAAAGAATTCTAAAAGGTTTATGGAGTCAATAAAAATATTGTATATTCAAATTCAGATGTGTCAGGTTCTCTCACCTTTCTACAGTATGAGACAATTAATGTCTTGCATATACACCTTTTCTGTTTACAGAGGAACAAGATGTTCCAGCATCAGCACATGGCACAACTGTATGGGTGGTTATCCTGGTTATCCTCATCATCATTGGAGCAAGTGCCACAACCTTTATTCACTGGTCGGTAGTTAACCACTAGCTTTGGGTCCAAGTTATGCTTTTTAAGGAGTGGCCAAATTACCACCTCTTTCAAGGTGGTAGGGACCACTCCCTCTCGCAAAGAGGCGTTCACAGCCTCCTGGACCCAGGTGCGAACCCCCCTGGCAGATCTTCTAATTAACCAAGATGGGCAAGGGTCGAGTGGAGTGGGGTTACAACTGAGAGATCCAAGCATCCTGTCTACATCCTCAGGTCTCAACAATGGAAACCCATCCATTAATATTTGACCTAAGCACAACACACTGGAAATTTTCTACAAAAGAAGAAGCAAGCAACAGCAAACAACTGCTGTCTTTGGCAACTCGTGTGGGGACAATGTGGTTATTCTTCAAAATGACTAACAGTGTCCAGTGGACAACAAGGATTAACAAATGCAGGTGGCATTCTGGAAATGGCTACTATTGAATTTAATAGATTTTGTTTCTGAGTAGATGGAGTGGGACTGCATTATTAACACGTAAGAAGAAGCAAGCAACAGCAAACAACTGCTGTCTTTGGCAACTCGTGTGGGGACAATGTGGTTATTCTTCAAAATGACTAACAGTGTCCAGTGGACAACAAGGATTAACAAATGCAGGTGGCATTCTGGAAATGGCTACTATTGAATTTAATAGATTTTGTTTCTGAGTAGATGGAGTGGGACTGCATTATTAACACGTTGATGGAAGTAACAGTTTAGAAAATACCTCTCCTAAGCAATAATACATATGTGGAGTTAACCTTTGACAAGACTAACAAAATGGAATGCTCTGAATGCATAAGATTCATCTAATGAAAGTATTGCCTGCACAGAATATTTTCAAATTAAACATGACTTAATTTATTTATTTATTTTATTTATTTACTGTCCCATTTCCCCCTCAAAATGAATGGCAAACTCATCACAGCGAGCTGATGAGCAGTCCAGGACCTCCACCGGATTTCCCGGTTGAAGCAGATTCCGGACCACCCGAAACAGCACTGCTGGATGACATTCTGAGGAAGCAATACGGCTGGAGAAATATTGCCATTTTGCCAGCCATATTGCCACGAAATAGGCCCGATAATGGGCTCTAAATCACATTTGATCGGACTCCCAGCGGGATTTGCTCCACCTGCGCTCCAGCCATCTCCCCTGAAATTAAGGATCATTTCATTATTATCTGGCAATCTAGAGCCTACAAAATATGTTTGCATCAATTTAATGGACAGTTTGTGCATGCTGGCCTTTTGAAAAATCTCAGTGGTGCTGATAGAAGACGAATGGGGCACATCCAAGGACAAAATCATTCTTACTTGAATTAGGAATGACATAAACGCCATGGAGCAGAGCAACTGTCCCCCAGCACCACCCTCTGGACATGTCAGCCAGGAAGGAACATAACCACCATAAAGCAGTGTCCCCAATTCCCAAACCAGCCAGCCTATCCCTACCCAGCCAGAAGGACACCATGGTCAATGGTGTCAAAAGCTGCTGAGAGATCCAGGAGGGAGTATCAACAGGGTCACACTTCCCTTGTCTCTCTCCCAGCAAAGGTCATCATACAGGGTGACCAAGGCAGTCTCCGTACCAAACCCCGGCCTGAAACCCGATTGAAATGGTTCCAGAAAATCTGTTTCGTCCAGCAGCGCCTGGAGTTGCCTGGCCACAACCTGCTCCAACACCTTCCCCAAATAAGGGAGGTTTGCCACTGGTTGGTAGTTAACCACCAGTCCTGGGTCCAGGTTAGGCTTTTTAAGGAGTGGCCAAATCACCGCTTCTTTCAAGGTGGTAGGGACCACTCCCTCTCTCAAAGACGTGTTCATGGCCTCCTGGACCCAGATCTTCCAATTAGATTGGCAAGGGTCAAGCAGGGTGGTGGTAGGACAGACAGATCCAAGCACCCTGTCCACATCCTAAGGTCTCAACAATTGAAACTCATCCATTAATACTTGATCTAAGTATGGCACACTGCATAGATCCTCTGATTCTGCACTAATGGTGGAATCCAACCCATTGTGAATCTGAGCAATTTCCCCCTCAAAATGAATTGCAAACTCATCACAGCGAGCTGATGAGCAGTCCGGGACCTCCACTGGATTTCCCAGTTGAAGAAGATTCCGGTAATACCTGAAATAGCTCTGCTGGACGATATTCTAAGGAAACAATATGGCTGGAGAAATAGTGCCATTTCGCCAGCCATATTGCCACGAAATAGGCCCAATAATGGACTGTAAGTCATGTTTGATCGGACTCCCAGCGGGATTTCCTCCACCTGCACTCCAGCTGTCTCCCCTTAAATTAAGGATCATTTCATTATTATTTGATAACCCAGAGCCTACAAAATATGTTTGCACTAATTTAATGGACAGTTTGTGCATGCTGGCCTTTTGAAAAATCTCAGTGGTGCTGATAGAAGAGGAACGGGGCACATCCAAGGACAAAATCATTCTTTCTTGAATTAGGATGAATATTTTGTTACGTTTTTTAAAAATGTTTTTTGTTTCATACTTAATAAATAGAGATGGACTTGAATCCAAAAATGAACCAGGAAGTTCATCAATAATTGCTGGTTCATTGATTTGGGTCAGTTCGTGTTTGTCCAAACTGGAAAACCCAAACTTTCTTGACCCAATGAACTGTCCAAACTGGAGAACCCAAACTTTCCTGACCCAATGAACTTTTTTGTGATTAAATGAACTTCTTGGTTTGTTTTATCTGCCTCCACAGATTCCCCTACTCCCGTCCCACTGCCCCTGTTGCTTCCCTACCTTATCCTGCCACTTCCGCCTCTGCTGCCACTGCCATCTCAAGAGACAGTGGCCTGGCTTCCATTTTGGGAGCCAGGCCTGCCATCCCTCTGCATGTGCCCACCTTGAGAGATGGGCTCAGCTGAGACTCTTTTTTTAAGGCAGCCCAGCAGCCTCCCAATTGGTTGCCTCAGGTGAGAGGTGGGTGCATGATGTGCAGAGTCAACTGACCTGTGTTGAACGAGCCAGGCTGCCTCTCAAGATGGTGGCGGCACAGGATATAGAGAGATGATGGGGTGGGGAGAAGGGGCCATATCAATGAACCAATTCACGGTTCATTTAAAAAAATCGGTAGTTTGTGGTTTGTGGATTTTCATGAAGCAAGATGAACCACCTTTTTGCTGGTTCATGCCCATATCTATTAAGGGGCCATATCAATGAACCAATTCACGGGTCATTTTTAAAAAATTGGTAGTTTGCGGTTTGTGCATTTTCATAAAGCAAGATGAACCACTTTTTTCCTGGTTCGTGCCCCTCTCTATTAAGGAAATAACAAAATGTAAAATATGATAATAGAGGATTTCCAGCAGAGGGCAGTCATATAGCACAGGCAAGTGTAATAATATTTGTTTTTCATGGTCCAGAATCTTATATGGAAATGAAAATTAGAAGTAACAATGATAGCTAGCAATCACTAGCTCTCATCTCTGAAGTACATGGTACTCACTTTATGAGTTTGTAGGTAAAACTAAAGGTAAAATACACACCTTGGGGTTCGGGTGGTGCTAAATAGGCTGGCAATGACTTGTTTATTTATATGTCTGCTTATGGGACAGAAATTACTCAAGGCAACTTCCAAAGGAAAACGGTAAAAATAAAAACAAAGTAACAATAAAATCCAGTAAAAACAGCATGTAAAATACACCCCTGAAAGCAACAGCAGAGATTTATGTGTGTGCGCGTGTGCGTGTGTGTAGGGCCACAGCAAGTGGGGAAGGAAGGTTTTACACTACCTTCTCCCGTACTAATACCACCGCCTCTCCCCTGGCAAATAGCAAGCATATAAAAATTCAAGTGGCACCAACGGGATTTTTTAAAAATTACATTTTTCAAAATTGACATTATCATCAGGTAATAATGATCATTTTTTAAAAAGCCCACTGGAGCTGCATGAGAAGGTTCAACCCCTTCCTTCTGTGATACAATCATGAAAACAAGGAATATTTTCAGCTACATGTCAGAGGGGGAAAAACCATTCTGACATGTTAAAGCGCTGCACCATGAGGTTCCTCTATCTTTCATCATTGACTTACTTGGCAGGAGACACAGTCTAACCACACTCAGATGGCCACGTATTCTCAACCTTAATTCTAATTATTCACAAATTAAACAGCAATGAGAAGTGTAATGAAGTTCCTACATGATGATGATGATGATGATATCTCAGGCCAATTGAATAGAATGTTCATGACAAGTAATAAGCCCTATTCAGACTTTCAATAATCATGAGCAGAGAGAGCAGCCCACCCCCACCCCCATTTCCTGCATGGAGAACTAAAGCAGAAAAGGAAAGTGATCTCCTCTTGGGAGTGTTTCCACACAGTTGGGACCCTGGGTTTTTCACAAATAGAGAGGGCTCCCTTCTGCAGATTTAGCTCTCATCCCTGAACAGCTAAGCTGGAGGTGGCAGGGCTAGGTTCTTCCCTCCCCCCCCCCGATCCTACGAGTTAACCCTTCTACAGAACACCTGAAATATTGCCACAGTTCATTTCTGTTCTGAACTAATCAGGCCGTAGATGGAGTACAGTGTCCAGTTTGGGGAATCAATGCTTAACTTTTAAAGAATTTAACAAACTACAGTGAGTCCAGAAATGAGTAATCAGGAAAGAGGTGGGTTTGAAAATATAGTCCTGTGAGGAATGGCTGAAGAACAGGATATACGTTGCGTTTAAAAAAGAATTTTAAGGGGAGATGTGGGGGCTGCCTTTAAACAGCTGAAGAGCATGCAGAAGATGGAATCAGCTCCCCACTCCGAAATCAATTCATGCGGCAGGACTAGAACTACTTAACAACTGTTCAACATTGCAGTTGTAGAAGAGATAGCCATGTTAGTCTGTTCAAGCATATCGGGCAAAATCCAAAGAAACAAAACAAAACAGTGGGAGATCTTCCAGTGCCCAATTGTGCGTATTTACATGACAGATCCTATTAGGAAAGAGGTGGGTTTGAAAATATAGTCCTGTGAGGAATGGCTGAAGAACAGGATATACGTTGCGTTTAAAAAAGAATTTTAAGGGGAGATGTGGGGGCTGCCTTTAAACAGCTGAAGAGCATGCAGAAGATGGAATCAGCTCCCCACTCTGAAATCAATTCATGCAGCAGGACTAGAACTACCGTATTTTTCGCTCCATAAGACGCACCTTTCCATAAGACGCACCGATATTTTAGGAGAAGAAAACAGGAAAATATAATCTGTTTTCTTCGCTCCATAAGATGCACAGACTTTCCACCCCCCTGTTTTGTGGGAAAAAAGTGAGTCTTATGGTGCAAAAAATACAGTACTTAACAACCGTTCAACATTGCAGTTGTAGAAGAGGTAGCCGTGTTAGTCTGTTCAAGCATATCGGGCAAAATCCAAAGAAACAAAACAAAACAGTGGGAGATTTTCCAGTGCCCAGTTGTGCATCATTACATGACAGATCCTATTCAAAACATAACAAAAAGACTAAAAAAAATTGTGGCGC